AATACATGACGGTAAACAGTAAACAGCAGAGGTTGGAGCCAGACGATCTGTAGGTGAGCGTGCCGCTCTGCAGCCGGGGGTTCCGAGATCTCTCTCTTCTTCCTCTCCGCGGCATCCTCTTGTACGCGGCTCGGCGCGTTATCAGCGTCATCTGCGCTGCCTTCTGTAAACATCTGTATTAATAGAGGAACTCTTACAATAGATTTATTCATCGATCGATATCAATTTTATCGACTTTAATTGATTTTTTTGCAGAGTTCACCTAAGGGGCTGGGATTTGACGGGTAATCGAGCATGCTGATTACAAATACAATATTAGTTTTTAGAATTATCCATTACTTTTATTGATTTTATCGTTTTTTTGCAAAGTTTGAGCTACGGGCTGGGAGTTGGCACAGGGGGGGGGGGTAATCGAGCATACTAATTACTAACACAGCTGGAATAGGTAATAGCATGTGGAAGTGGGCACAGGGGAAGGTTGTACATGAATAGGTATGGGACCTTTTCATAGCCTTTTGAAAGACCGGGCGAAGCCGGGAAAGCCAGTTAGTTTGATTATATTTTTGCATTTATATGTATCAAATTCTAGATTCATTTGATGAATAAATTAGACATGACATATTGAAAAATACAAGCATATTTATTTCCTAATATCACGTATGGCATATATACATCACAGAATGTCAATGGAATTGTAGACATACATGAAGTATTTGCAAAAACAACAAACTACAACCACAAATCAACAAAAAAGTTTCAATTTATGTTGTTTCGTAAACACATACCACCTGTTAAACACAAATTCATTACGATGCTCCACATGTAGCGTCAGATCTCTGGCATTAGAAATGAAAATGGTTTTCACATTTATTAAGTGTCATTTCAAAAAATATTTGCAAGCCATAAAAACAACTCATAATTTTCGCAAGTATCGGTCTATGGATAACATCAATATTAGGAAGATTCAACAATTCAAACATGAAAATTATGAAAATCTATTCAGCAGGCGAATACGTTCACTAGCCCACCACATCATAACTAAAATGAGAGAGGTTTTAAAAGTCGTTTCAAAGTTCAGATAAAAAACACATAATAATCAAAAAAAGCAATAAGATTCATTACAGCTACATTACATTTTATCGACATAACAAATTCAAATACAAAAAGCCTATAATTTACTGTAGCAAATTTATTCAATATTTTATTATGAAAAAAAACACTTTCTGTAGACTTGATGTACATACTTCAACAAAAATTGGTTTTCCTCAAAAAGGTAACTTCAACCCAGTAGCAAGGCCGGCTAAGCTGCCACCATAACAAACCTTGTATGGCACAAGATAATTGAAAAGACATTCAAGTAATTTTTTTAGATTCATGGATAATTTATTGAATCGAACATAGACAAAACACTGCAGATGCCACAATCAAAAACATCGATGGCAGTAAATTCCAAATAAAACCTACTTATAAGCATATACAGGGTGCGAGGCGTTAGGTACCCAGCCAAGTTGCGAAGAATTCTCACTCCTGTCGATCAGTGGTATACAGGTTACGCCTCTTGCTTGCCTTTAGCAGCGGGACCTAATATACACGTATATGAACCTATAACAGCTCACATTAGCTCGTTTGAGCGCTGCAGCATGCTACCTACAAATTCGAAATGAGTAAAATAGCAAAAAAGTAAAGAACGAACAAACAAACATAGGCATGCAACGCTTGAACGTTTTTGTCACTTCTATAGAGTTGATATACTTCTTTGATCAGCGGACATCAACAGTTGTTGACGCTGACGTAATAATATCGAGTTCTTTTTCAATAGGTAATAAAATAATTTAATAAAATAATTAAATAAATACCGACTACCAAACAAATTAGACCACTTTTGAAAGTTTCATATTAGTCTTTCACTTCCATTGCTTTATTAAAAGCTTAAGATCTTGACAGTGATTCCTAAGAATGGAATTTCTTTTTTTCCAATTTTCCTTATTGACAAGCGGCCCAATGACTTTCAGATGCAAATCCCGTTCAAAGGCAGTAGATCGGCAGAATGGGCCTTTCTCAGACTTTGATGGGTTTAGGCAGTAAACCCTCCGTACACTGTAGCCCAAACCCCACCTGCCAACTCATGCGCTAAGTGTTAAAAATGCGCCACAAAACTCTATCAGCCTCGCCCATTTCCATGGAGTGACATCAATGGTAAGTAGGAGTCGGAACATGGTCGTAAAGAGCTCCCAATCCGACGCAAACAGAATTGTTGGCAGGAAATCATTGACTCAAGCGAAAATGTTGGGAAGAAAGGTTTCGACACTTCTAGACACGGGCTCAGTGATAAGTATACTACCCGTGAAAGTGCTTATAGAAGCGAGAAACAATGGGTACGATGTCGAATCACTTACTTTCGACATTATGGAAGGAAGCATATACGATGCATCCAACCATGTGATGAGTTTTCTCGGAGGTGTAAAAGTAGAAGTGGAACTAGAAGGATGCAAGAAGGAAGTTGCCTTCCATGTTTCGGACGATAGGAATGAGGAAGTACTCATTGGCACAAATGCATTGAAGAGTCTAGGGGTGGAAGTAGTAATACACAAGAAGCCTGAAGTCAAAGTAAAAGCAAAGGATAGGATGGTGCCTCCACACAAGAGAAACACCGCCTCAGTAAGAGCGAAGATCCAACAAGGTACCATAATTGTGAACAGATCTAGATCTCAGAGAAGGACAGGTTTGGAACTGTCAACAAGAAGACGTTTATTGAGAGAAAAAGAGATGTCAAAGCAGACAAAGGAATCTGGCCAGGGGAAGCTTGTGAGCGCAAGTGGAAGAAGTCGACATGTAGGAAGGGCAGCAAAATGCACACTCCTTCCAGAAGCGATCGAAAAATGTTCGGAGAGGCACAGAAAGGAGTCAGAGTTGAAAAGACACGCAGTGAGAAAGGACAAAGTTCTGAGAAGGAACGTGCTGTTGCGTTTATTGCACCGAGATGTGCAACATCATTTGAGGAAGTTGAGCTGAAACAATGTGGAGTACTGACCAAGGTGGCAGTATCATTCAGTCAACTCAAAGAAGCGTTGAAATACTTGAAGAACTGTCGTATGTGGATCATAGTATGGCCCATGAACCCAAGAAGGGAGGATGAGGCTATCATTGAGACATTGCGGATATGCAAGAAGTACCTCGAAGAAGGAGGAAAGATTGTATCCGTGTGGCCGCCACTATCTTTCAAGAAGATCGGTGTGTGGAAAACGAAGTCAAAAGTGTGGACGGTGATTGAATCAGTACTGAAAAGATGGGCAAACCCAAATCAGTTGATCACGTTGGATCCCTCAAAGACAGAAGATAGGGAACGTGAACAGAGAAGCAGATGGACCCCAAAATTCTTTTTAGGTATACGACACGCATTTCAGGGACGGATATGCGCGTTACCTCTACAACGCCATCCGCAGGAGGTTCCCGATGCAAAGCTCAGCAAGTTGCAGCAGCCGCCGAGGACGTCGGCTCCCCGGAGGGGAGGGATGTCAGAGGGCGCGGATCACCGACCTACCGATCTTCAGTGGCGGGAAGAAAAGCCCGCGCTGACCCCTTCGGCAGGGTATAAATACCGAGAGTCAGGGGGAGTCTCAGAGTCCGCGCTGAGGAAGCGCTAGCGGAGCTAACTCCGTCGAAGAGAGGCGGATTTCCCCCTTAGATAGAGAGTTCATCCAGTCAGCCTGCCGAAGTGGTCAAAGAGGGTAAAGCCCGCAGTTTCGTTGTTAAGCCTTGTTCAAGTTACACGTTCTTGTTTCTTGTTGTTCATTGCCGTTTCCTGAGATAAATTATTAGTCGTTCAATCCGTGTTATCTATCGATCCGGTTAAAACCGTTATACCACTAGACACCCCCGATTACAACCTTTGATTCAACTGGCTTGGCTTCGGGAAGGCGGGACTTTGTGACGTAATTGAGGCAGCTCGCGGACGCGACCCACCTGCGTCTCTCTCGTGCGGGTGCTCTCTGATCACTGCTAGCCTTGATCAGGTCATGGAGCCCCGCCTTTTCGAAGCCAAGCCAGTTGAATCAAATGGTAGCATTTGTGGCATATAAGTAAGTGCAATGTGGCCACTGTTACTGCTCCAAAAGCTCTTGCACACTTAGGGCCGCATGCACTAACATCCCTGCGGCGAGGGGAGCGGCGTCCCCAATGATGAAAAAGCCGCAGCGGCGTCCGCACGCGGTCCCTTCATAACGGGGGACGCCGCTCCCCTCGCCGCAAAAATGTTAGTGCATACGGGCCTTAGTGCTGTAAATCGAAACAGCTCTTTCAGCTAATATAGTTAGATGCTTACACCAAGTTGAAAGGTTATCATTTTTGAATTTCGGTGCTGGTGCTGATTATGGACAAAAATCCACTTTATCGATTTTATCGATTTTCGGAGAACTTTGAGCCACGGGGCTGGGAGTTGGTACAAGAGGGTAAGTGAGGGTGCTGATTAAAAATAAAATCTATTTTATTGATTTCATCGATATTTGGAAATCTTGAGCTAAGAGCTGGTATAGGGGATAAGAGGGTGTTGATTATAAATGGATCGGCTTTAGCCGAATATGTCAACAAGTTCTAGATATGGCTGATCTAGTTATTCGATAAATTATTCGATTTATTCGAAATTCGACTCCCAATGTTCGAATATAATCGATATCCTTCCATTCGATATTTTTGATTTTCCGAATTTATTAGGGATTCATTCATTCGAGAATTTCTAAATCTCGAATTTATTCGATGTTCGTTTATTCGAAACTTTTTGTTTTCGTTATTTGATACTCGTTTATTCGACATTTTTCGTTTTCGAATCTATTCGATATTCATTCGATGAAGAGTCTTGAATTTACCCAAGTATACTATAGCCATATCTAATCGTAATATTTTGACCTCCTACCGTATACCTGACGGACATAACCCCACGTGGAGACCTTCTGGTTATATCTGGTGGAGACCTTCTGGTTACCTTCTGGTCTCCTAGGCTCAAAATGAATGATACTCTTCTTAATTGGCAGAAGGAACCTGACAGTTTGAATTTGAACTGCGCCAAAAGGAAAAAGTCAAAACCGTTCATCACCGGCGCAAAGTCTTGGATTGGCGCGAGGTTTCTGCACAATCCTATCCAAGCTATTGAAACGTGTACTCTCTTTCCATATCCATTAAGTTCATTGCTTTTATCTATCTCTCCGTTAGCAGCTGTTTTACATACAAGGTAAGCAGTTGTAAAGTAGCAGAAAAGCAATGCCGTGGTCTTTTGAAGTATCACTTGCTTTGCAAATTGCGCTATGCGAATTATTTTCTTGGACTGATGGTGATTGAAGTAGATTTCAGTGATGTACTGTTATGACAATGTCAACTGACTTTGGAAATCCACTGAAAAAGTTCAAGCTTGTCTTCTTAGGAGAACAAAGCGGTAAGTTCTTTTCGTAAAATTGCTTAATTCTCTCATCGAGTAATTTTAGTTGGAAAAACATCTTTAATCACTAGATTCATGTATGATTCTTTTGACAATACATATCAAGCTACGATCGGCATCGATTTTCTTAGCAAGACAATGTACCTGGAAGATAGAACGGTAGGGGAAAGTTTCTGCACTAACATCAGCTCTGCATCCGTTTAAATCAGGTCCGTCTGCAACTTTGGGATACCGCTGGCCAAGAGCGTTTCCGATCTTTGATTCCATCCTACATTCGTGATTCTACAGTTGCTGTTGTTGTGTATGACATCACAAGTAAGTCGAGCTTAAAATCTGTTTTTTTAACAAGTGCGCGGTTTTCGATTGTACAGTGTACATGTACCAGTTTTGGAGCCGTAAATTTTATCACACGACCATCTGCTCGGGCTTTGTGTTCGTGCTGTAGGATCGCGCAATATCCAAGGCTCGAATCCATTTGCCAGCGCCTCGCTTTGAAGAGCAACGCGCAGAGAGACTAGAGACGTGGGCTCTCGGCGCAATGTAGACTTTTCGCACTTTCGAATGAGCGCGCACTTTTTTTAAACGTATTTTTAGAAACTTTAACAGAGACTTTTGGCTAAGACGTACTGTGTGATGTTGAAAACAACATGCATGTTGACCCTAGAATTCATGCTAATGAGACTGTCTATAGTGCCCCGCGATACGCTTGCTACGCTGGCGTTCAAAGGCACTGTCCTGGCAAGAAGTGGACTTTGAAATTTTGTACTCACCTGGGCCTATTCGCTATGCAGATCCGAAAATACACACTGGATAGCGCGAAAACGGCAAAAAAGGCTTTAAAGGCACCGTCCGGGCAAGTCCGGACACATAGGAACTTCACGTGGATAGTATTTTGGGGCCCTAACTAAGCCACTGCCAACCGGCAGCTCATATAGTGCCCTATCGGCTGAGATATTCCCCTCGAAACTGGACCCCGCGACCGTACTTCGCATGTATTCATGGCGCAACGCGTAGGTCCTCGCGCGAAACTGCCGTGAATCCATGCGGGGTCCAGTTTGGAGGCGTGTATCTCAGCCGTTAGTGAGCCACCTGCACTGCCGCTTCGGCAGCGCTTTAGTTAGGGCCCCAGAATTGCTTTCCACGTAAAACGCCATAGGCCCAGATCTGCCCTGGACGCTGCCTCTAAAGGCAGTATCGGGCAAAAAGTCGATTTTGAGATTTCGTGCTTACCTGGATCTATTTGCTATGCTGAATCCGAAATCCACACTGGAGGGCGCGAAAACGACGGAAAAAGGGTCTAACACAGCAGGGAAAACGTGGCGCTATTCCAGTATCCGGGCCTCAAAATTTTTTTGACGTGGATTCAGCTGAAACTTGGCCCAGGGGGAGTTATTCGGTCAGCTGATGCTGAATATCACATTGGTTTTGTACCGTAGCGTCATATTCTCGAGTTACGGTAGGTGTGCGGTGAGGGGTCAAAGTCTCAAAACTCGCTGTAACTCCGCACAGAGGGGTTATTCGACATGCTGATTAGAAACATCACACTTTCTCCGCACAAAACGTCTCCCTGCACGGTTACGGTAGGTTTACGGTAGGGGTCAAGATCACGAATCGGCGAATGTATCTTCTCCCTGTACTTCGCCTAGGCAAAAGCCGCAGCAGGGTGTATAGCGCGCGGCGGTGGTCGTGTGTGCAAAGCTTCCAATCGTCCAGATCGGTGTACACCCGTTTCAGGCAGAAGTAGCTTTTCTACCCGTCACCGAGAAACGTAACTCGAGAAAATGACGCTATGGTACAAAACCAAGATGATATTTGGCATCAGCGGGCCGAATAACAAAATTCCAGAATCCGCTGAAACTAAACACCCCTGTGTTTAGTTTCAGCGGATTCTGGAATTTTGACCCCTTACCGTAACCCAAGAAAATGACGCTGTGGTATAAAACCAATGCGATATTTGCCATCAGCGAGCCGAGTAACCCCTGTGGACTAAGTTTCAGCAAAATTCATGCGAAAAAAATTTTGGTTCCCGGATACTGGAATAGCGCCGAAAACGTAGATGGGAGGGTCTTCCCCCCTGTGGACTATGCTCCTAGCTTCCGGAGCGATCTTCTCGGTTCCAGTTTCAAGTCATTCATTTGCACTTGGCGGTAGCGATGTCAGGGCAGCTAACTTGATCGAGAAAATCGTTCCGGAAGGGTGAGGAAGACCCCGCCCACCCGCTGATTTCCCTCCCATTAGAGACCTTTTTCGCCGTTTTCGCGCTCTCCAGTGTGGATTTTCGGATTCAGCATGGCGAATAAGCCCGGGTAAACTTAAAATCTCAAATTCGAGTTTTTGCCCGGACACTGCCTTCAAGGCACGGCGTGTGCAATTGTTTTACAAAGTTTATGTACATTCGGGTGCAATGGAACGGTTTTTGCATTCTTGGTGACAATAATAGTAGTTCTCAGTGATGGCTTTGGAAAACAGCCGCAATATCCCCGAAATCAAATATTGATGGTAAGAGGAGCTCTCTTTAAGCACGCATTTTTCAGACGCAAACTCATTCCATCAAACGTCGAAGTGGATAGACGATGTTCGCACGGAAAGAGGAAGCGATGTGATAATCATGCTTGTAGGGAACAAGACAGATTTAGGTGATAAAAGGTAGCTGTTTTTATGGCTTTATTGTTCATCATTCTGTTATGTGTTAGACTTGTCCCCTACTCCAGAAAATGAATGCCCAAATTTTTTGCAGGCAGGTCTCGACTGAGGAAGGTCAGCGCAAGGCTAACGAACTCAATGTCATGTTCATCGAAACCTCTGCCAAAGCAGGATACAACGTTAAACAGGTTTGTGCTTATTTTCTTCATTATGCATATCAATCAAGTATGTTTTATGTCCCATTGTTCTTCCTATAGTAGCGCCGTTTCGAGCGGCTCAACGAGCTTGATCGCCTCGCTTGGGTTCTACATCGCTTCGTGAACGTGCTCTTTGAGCACCTTCCCACGTCCAGTTAACGACTGAAGTTCGACTCTGAGCAAAAATAATTAGAGCACACGTTTGCGAACGCGATGCAGGGCCTTACGAAGCGGGCTCGCCGAATTTAAGTTGCTCGAGACGGCGCCGCTGCTATTGAGACAGAGTGTTAGCACTACATGTTGAAGTCATCATTTTGGTTTGGCGCCAACTGTTCTGCTTAGCATATCATGTTCAAAAATCAAAACTTCAAGAGCTTAGGTGACAGCAAAGCTAGTTGCACCGCTTCTACTGACGCAGCGGGGGTCGCATGAATTTGAGAGTGAGCTTCTTGGAATTTGATAAGTATGTATATGACTGGGTGCAGGTTGTGGATTCACTTGAGCTTACCGAAAGTTAGTTAAAATCCGTCTCAACCAACTGATTGATTGAGACTATTACTTATTTTGCACCCAAACAAATCTTGAGCAAAGGTGATTGTATCTCTTTCCCCATTACCGGATGCATGTCGCAAAAAATTGCTGGCATAATCTAATGCTCATTTTAAAAACGAAACGTGGCTTTGATAAAGTGAAGATTTTTGTATAACTGCTGATTCATCTATTTTCTATCGGCATTTATCGGCATTTTCTTTGCAACCAAATGAATTTGTTTTTACTACATGATTTAGCTTTTCCGTCGCATTGCTGGTGCGCTGCCAGGAATAATCAAGGATGATGATCGTACTGAAAACAGTAAGTTTCGCAAGATTAATTTGTACTTCTGGATAATGCTACTTTCAGCTACTGTTGTAAACATGGATCCGATCAAACAGCGTCAAATAGTCACGGAGGAAGGATCGTGTTGGTGTTGATCGCTACAATTGGTTGGCCATGAGCATCTTTTTCATATCCAAGAACTGCTTGCTGCGTAACAATTCTGCTATTGTGGTTTCCAAAGCTAATCAGCAAATGCCATGTTCTTTTTTTTCCTTTTCTTTCTTTGTTGCTTTTCTTTAAATCTGTGCAAGTTGGGTTTTTGCGGTTGCTGCACTGTATTTTTTCGTGTATCCCAGATCAGTGCTGTGCTCTTTGAGAACATGGTTCACTGCATGTTGGGGTTGTGATAATATGGTTAATCTCTCTACAGTGTTGTGCTCACTGCTCACTACTGCTGCTAATAATGTAGAACAGAGTCAGGATAATGCTAAGCCCTTTGCGTGCCGCTTATGCGTGCTGAAAATGTGATAATGTATTTTCGAGTCATCTTCTGTATCGCATTAATAATATGTGAGCAATGTTTTCTTCTCTGCTATCCAATAATAAATGAATTTTTTTGAATGCATCGGTCATATCTGTCTTTCATTTTTCAACAAAATCTGGAAGTGGAGTTTTGATTTGGGAGTTGATCACAATTTGATGTTCGTATAATTGATGGAGAACTCACAATGTTTGCATATTTTCAGTGCTCTCTTTTAGGTAGAAGCCAGGATATGCGCTGCGGAAAAAGAATGCTGCTTCTTATAACCGCAAGAAATGTAGGAAACACTTTTCAATATTGAGTGCTTGGAGTTCTCAAAATCCAAAATCCAGAACATCAAGATCTTGCTAACAGATAGCGCTGAACTTGTCTTGCCTACTAGCCTACGGTTAACCGTCCGTTGAGGGATACTGAAGGTCCTTATCCTCCTGTTCTAATAAGGTTTGCGCCTCCGATACTAGAGCTATAACAAAATAATAGTGGTGTTGCCTCCTAACTTCGAAGTTTATAGCCAAGAAGGAGACTGCTGCAGTCTACCTACACTACTTTCCGTCCTGGTAGTGACGCCGTCTCCAGCGGTTTGAACCGTGCGTGAGCTCGCTTGGGTTTGCACCGCGATCGAACGGTTGTCCGACCTATTCCCCGTCCAATTAACAATTGAGGCTCACTTCTGAGCCCTTTTTAATACTCAAGTGTGGGAAATAGACGACACGTTCGCGAGCGCCGTACAGAGCCCAAGCAAGGCGGCCGCGGGGGTTTGAAGCCTGTCGAGACGGCAGTACAACGAGAGGGTGAGGCCTAGTGCCAGATGAAGACGCCAGCGGCGCAAACGCGGTTATTTTACCCATAAGGCACCCGCCATACTTGATCCGCTTGATCCGCTTAATCCGCTTCGTGTAAAACGTGCGCACTCGGCAGCTGTCATTTGACGTCACGTACAGCGATTTGCTTAACCATACGAGATTGCTTTTTACCTACGCGGCGCCAAATGGCAGACTGCTGAGTGCGCTCGTTTTACACGAGGCGGATCAAGTGGATTAAGCGGACCAAGAGGATCAAGTATGGCGGGTGCCTAAGGCCTCGGTCATACCACGCAATTTCAGTCGCCAAGCGATCTGGCAATATTCCAAAAGCTTATACAGTCTGTCCCAGTCCTAAACAGGCTAAAATTGGCACGGCGAGAGTCTCCATCATTACGGTTTTGCGTCACGCCTACTGCCTGCTAGTCTGATCCCTCTTCATTCTCGTCGCTCTCTTCTACAGTGCATAGCAGCGCAAACTCGAGCGTTGCGAGCACGCAAACTTACGTCAACGGTCAGGTCTGACCCCGACTGGCACAAAGTGTCTCTTCCTAATCTCCCATCCGCCTACAAGAGTTATACATCATAAGTTGATAGTACTATTTGGATCTGCAAACCTATTGCTAGCAGCACCCTGGCTAATCTAAAGCAGAAATTATTGCATGGGATTTTCTATACTGCGTCTAATCACTTCTCTTGGACTGCTCCTTGTCCCTTTTGAATTGGTATGAGTTGCTTGTTATTGTTAGTGTTTGCTTTTGTTTGTTTGTTTGATTTTTTTCCATATTGGCTCACCTTGAGTGTAAAACATAAATATATAAATAAATAAATAAATAAATAAATGTTGTGCTTTCAAATCTGGTAGGGCGCACGCGTCATACTTGATCTTCTTAAATCACTTGATCCGCTTGATCCACTCCGTGCAAAACGCGCGCTTATTGTTTGTCAGTTGGCAACGCGCACAGCAATTGGTGCAACCGGGTTAGAGGACTGTATGTCGCCGAAACTTAGAGAATTCTGCGCGGACAATGCAGCAGATACTCAGTCTGTGCATGTGTGAGTGTGTATTTATTACAGATGTCCGGCGGAACCTCTCACTTTCGGCGACATATAGTCCCCTACCCCGCAACCATACAAAATACTTTTTTACCTACGCGGCGCCAAATGATAAACTAGTGAGCGCGTGCCTAATGGATACAAAGACATCTGACAGATTGCCGATTCGCGTGGCGACTGAATTTGCATGAGGTTTGGCCAAAGCTTGAGACGCAAAATGCGAGCGTTCGCAGTGTAGCCGCCCGCGCGCCGCCTTCGCGACCGCTTATCAGAGTGTTAGCTGATGCACCTTCGTTCGGCATCAAACTTCAGATAACTGATTTTAAACGTACCATTGGCCCCCCGATTGCTGCGAGGGCGGTCGCAATGGTCAACCGAGAATCAATTTATCAGCTATGTTTCAACACTGGACAACCGCATCGCTGATACGCTCGCCCAAGTCCGCCCTCGCGGCCTTGGAGCCGATGGTACAGTCGAGTAGCTTTTCCGCTTAACCCACAGACGACGAACGCCTAATTTTGCGTGGCGGCGCTGTAGGACGACGCGATTTTGCACAACACTTTCAGTGTGGGAAGCTTTCGTGCTTATTTGCGAAATGCAACATTGTTTTGTAGACAACCAATAATATTTTCTTGAACGACAGAGCCTATAGGTCCTAGAACACAAAAAATTGGAAAAAATATTCATAAGTGGGAAAAATACTAGACCTGCAAATAATACGACTTTGCGAGAGGTGTGGTCCACCGGGGATCCACATCGTCCCTGACAGCAAAGGACACGTACGCCACCGGTGGTCCACATCGTCGTCAATGGGTTAATATAGTGTGCTTGCAGTGAAGTGCGTGGTAAAATTTGCGCGTGAACAAGTAGCCACGCCAATATTGCCAACCTTTTGCGTGCGCAATTGGCCGGCGTCACGGGGCAGCTATTTATTCACGCGCAAATTTTACCGCATTTCACCTTCAGTGCAAGCACACAATATTAAGCCGAAAATCTACTCGACTGTAGCCTCACATAGCCTTGTGCCAGTAAGGACTGCTTATATACACTTCCTACTTCTCCTACTCGTAGAAACTCGGAATGAAGTTGACATTACGGACACTGTAATTTGTCCTTCCGGTGCTGCCATATACAAATAACGCCATCTAAATGAAAGTGATCTCTTTCCACCAATCATACTATCTACACCAATTCTGTCTGTAGGACAGCAGAAGTCAGATATAGTAAGTTTCAAGTCAGTTTAGGGATCGTTCATACCGCGCACAAAGGCGGACGAAGCCGGACGAAGCCGGACAAAGGCGGACGAAGGCGGACGAAGCCACACAAAGGCGGACGAAGCCGGACAAAGCCGGACACAGGCGGACGAAGGCGCGTGTGAGTGTGTGTGTGCGTGGAGGACCGGCCCGCCGCCCGTCACCGTCGGCTCAGTACGCGCCGCAGTCCGCGTCGCACTGAAACTGATCACTGAAGCGCGTTTTTGCGCTGGCATTGCAAATATGCAAAAAGTGTTAGCACCATGCTAGTACCCATCACCACTGTTCATCACTTTGTAATCACCTAGCATAGGCACATCTGCCCGAAAAGGACGAGGTCCACGGCAAATTCATGGCCTCATGCCGTACACCTTCCAGAACTCTACGAAGAAGCCTCGTTATGCAAAGATAAGTATGCTGTTTGTGTTTAGCATACCAGATAACCCTCTTAGACCAATCAAAGCCAAGTCTGTGGTTTTGACCCCGACACACAATGCAAGAAAAAAGTAAGTTGTCGGAAAATTTTCTTAAATAACGTGTGGGAGAAGCCCATCTATTGTTTTCCAGCAAAAATCACAGCTTTGAAATTTGCCTGGATGTTAGAATAGCGCCAATCTCATAGATGTGGAATGCTTGCACATCTTATATATAAAGCTGAATGTCTGTCTGTATGTACATATGTCTGTCTGTCTGTCTGTACGTATGTGCGGAATAGAAATTTTTATTTCTGAACCGATTCGGACCAAACTTGGCACACATATACTTCGGGGCAGGGAGCGTGTCATAGGCTACTTTTCGTTATCGATCGATATCGATTTTATCGATTTTTTGCAAAATTTGAGCTACAGGGCTGGGAGTTGGCACAGGGGGGTAATCGAGCATGCTGATTACAAATATATTATTGACAGGCCCGGGCGGATCCGGGTTCGCCAACTAGTTGGTATATAAAGCCCCACCATCCGCTTAAAGGCAGTGTCTCACCAAAATTTAGTTGCCAAGTTTTTTGCATTTTGCAATCCTTTCGGACCCTGTCTAGCACTGTATGGGCTTAAAATCGCACAAGGTCCTCAAAAACCCGTTTTCTGGAGGCCCCGCGGAAGCAACGTGGACGAGTTGTGCCTTTCAACTTCAGCCTCAGCCACAGTGGCAGCAACAGAGGGAGGTGGATGCCAAGTGGAGGGACATGTTCAAACGCGTCAGGGGGGAGACCAAAGGAGTCGTCCGCGCGTACCACCTCGCTCTCCGCGTACCACTTTGAGCGAATTTTTCTCAGCGTAGAGGGGTCAAATTGAGTGGGACTTGTTGCAATGGCCTATTTAGAGGTCCCTATAATAGAATATGTCAAAATCCGCGCGACCTCACCTTTGGTGAGACACTGCCTTTAAGACTAGTGCGGGAAAAGAGGCTACACAACACGTGATCCTACCAGGGAAAACAGACTAAACAGCACAGCAACTCTATATTTCCACATCGCTTTACTAGTCATCAGACAATGAGCGTGAATTGTGAAGCCTACAAGTCGTAGATGTTCATCCTTGTTGCGATGTCTGTTGCGAAAATTTCTCGTAGCGGATTTAGTGAGATTAGTGTGACTTAGTGAATGTGATACTCTCGTTTGATAGGAAGGTATCGCCTCAAAACCACATTTAGCGACATGTAAACCAATAGTTTTGGATTGGTATTATTGCCAGAACTCTGCCACGGATGAAGCTGATGAACTTATTGACGAATTTGGAATCCCGCTTAGGCCATATTTCCCGTGACTGGACAAGCATGTGAGTGGACAGAGTTACTGGCTCTAAATTTGCATACCATACCCATAGTGACATCCGGGAGATGGTCAAGAGGCGCGATTTCTCTGGCTGTCACCAACTTAAAACTCCATTTGAGTGCTATGCGAGTTTCCAAAATTACCGGATAAAGTGCAGTAGCTTACTATCCGTCTGAGGTCATCATTTGCTGAGTTTCATGGTTTTTGCTATAAATCGGACTGAAATATTTGCGAATTTGTTGTGAATTGCATTTTCATGAATTTTTGACCTTCAAAATTGCTCTTTTAAATTTTTTCTAGAGCATCAAGATTGAACAACACATGCAACTACCTAATATATCTTCTTCCAAATTTCATATAATTTTAGAAAGTTGCAAAATACTTATTATTTGCTATTTGGTGTCCAGCTGGCAATAAAAATCGCGCCTCTTGACATACACCCGTGACATCCTATCTGTCCAATCTGTCCACCATAAGGCCTTGTCTTCTTGGTGTGCAGAGTCAGTCTAATCCGGAGAGCGCAAAAAAGGTCGTGATCTCAGCAAGAGATTGCAATATTTTTATACATGTTCTATCCACCTAAGGCTGCGTTCATACTGATTTCGTAATCCGGGAACAGTCTCAGCACAACGCTAACTTTGAGCGCTATGCTGGAACTGTTCCTGAACTTCGGGATCAGTATGAACGCAGCCTAATAATAAGAAGCGGACACAAAAATGGAGGAAAATTTTCGTCTGCGCAGACTCATATAGACTCATGCCTATCTTCACTGCATAGGTCTCTCCTTACTGCCTGCTCATATTTTACGTTTGACCCATAGTTGTGGTAGAAGCAATTGTTTGGCGTCTACCATGTGACACAAAAGCACAGAGGCAAAGTGATCGACTTTTTTGGCCAACAGTTCCGCCCAACGGAGCCATAAATCTACGCACAGAAATAACGTTTAAAAAACACTTTCTGTTTGGTAGCTTATAACAGTTGCGCAAAATTCTCACGTTCTTAATGAAACAAGTATACGAGTGCACGCGTCGCCTTTGAGCCGCGACGCGTACTGAGCCGACGGTGACGGGCGGCGGGCCGGTCCTCGTGTGCGTGTCGAGAGAAACGAGACGAGACGAGACCGCGCCTTCGTCCGCCTTTGTCCGGCTTCGTCCGGCTTCGTCCGCCTTCGTCCGCCTTTGTGCGCGGTATGAACGATCCCTTAGGCGGAAATTGAATTGGCGGAAGTCCGCTTCGCAAAGTTTCGCGCCGCTTTGCTGTCTGCGTTTCTCATTCGAATCTATCTCGCTGATCCAGTGGCGGTGCGGGCGCTGCTCCACTTGGAATGTTTCGCCCTTTGCGAGTAGAAAAACACTATGGACCTTTCTTCTCTGCAAATTGATCGTCAAATAAAGGATGTCGTGGTATTTAAGTACAATTTATAAGACGCCACTTTGAGCTACCGTAGACCTGACATGCGACATTCCGCGCTTGGAATGTAAATGAAATGAAACGTTCTCGTCATCTCTTCGTTGCTGTTGAATGTATTTTTGGAATCTCTACTTGTTTTTGTGCTTTCGTTGCTTCTTCCATCCGACTGTTTCACAGTATCCTTTGTAGAGGCTTTGCATCCGCTTTATATCCGTTTTCCTTTTTGGAGTGAGTAATAAGGTTGTTCAAGGATGGTCAGGGCTCGGGTAAAGAAAAGTGCTGTGTCTCGTCTTGTAGGCGCCTCTAAACGTCGTCGTCTTGAACCTTTAAAATTTGAAATCAGTTCAACCTACAAGGATGCTAAGTTTGGTGAAAGCTTCCGCAACGACCTCAAAGGTTAGTTCATTTATTTTTCTTTTTGTATGTCAGACTCACTTGGAGTTCTAGGTATATTGTAAGCAATATGACCGACTGATTTCTGAGGAAAACTACGAATAAATGATTGTCATTATCCCTAGATGGCGTTAGGCTTTGGCCATACTTTGCCGGTGTTGCCGATGTTTTCCAGCGTTAATCGTGTTACTCGTGTTGCCGATGTTTCCAGTGTTACTCGTGTTACCACCTTTAGTGCTGTTGATTCTCGAAATGATCGCCAGTACAGTTTCATTCTTAGACGCAGTCTCACTGAGTGGTGAGTATACAGGACCTGAGGCGATCATACTGCAATAATAATACCATGCTAGAAACTTGCTTCAAAAAGTTTTTATGACACAAATATAATCATATTGTTTAATTTGTAGCACAATGAGCTCTAACGTACTGGCTAACGTTTTGGACGCCTTGATCGAACTTCAAGAAACCTTGTCCTCGGACGTGTCATCATTTTCGCGGCCGTATGTGAGAAGGGAGCACATTCCCTTCTTTGAAAAAAAAAACTTTTGAAACTGAAACTAAAAAAAACTGAAAGAAAAAAGAAAAAGAACTTTTTTGAAGCAGGTTTCTAGCATGATATTATTATTGCAGTATGATCGCCTCATGTCGCGTATACTCACCACTCAGTGAGACTGCGTTCAAGAATGAAACTGTACTGGCGATCATTTCGAGAATCAACAGCAATAAAGGTGGTAACACGAGTAACACTGGAAACATCGGCAACACGAGGTAACACTACTGGAAACATCGGCAACACGAGTAACACGAGTAACACTGGAAACATCGGCAACACCGGTAACACTGGTAACAACGGCAACACGGGCAAAGTATGGCCAAAGCCTTAGATATTTCATGGAAACTTCCTACACTGGTCATTGCATGACTGCGACCTTTATCTGAGCGCAACCATATGGGCAAACCATTGGGTTTAAGATGCTAAAATTTGAAGCTGAATAGCTGTTTTTTAAGTAACCCAGACATCTAAAATTTCGCTAAAGTTTACCCAGCGAGGTTATTTGGCCCCCCATTTTTTGTAGATGGTTTTTGAGGAAAAATGAATAAATGGAGTGTTATATGTGTTGTATGGTTGAAATTCCTTCTTGTGTTACGGTAGGCACACGCAATCAGAATGACAGACAGTTCCTCTATGCAAAGTCAGAGGTTTTCAAATTATAGATACCGTTTGTCTTCAGTAGCCATGGTGAAAAGTCCACCGCTCACAGTTAGGAAGCTAAAGGAATACCTAATTAGTAATAATTAGGCACCGCATCCGCGGACTACTGGTCCTCACGCGACTTACAATACTAGAGCGGGGAACATCATTTCGCGAAGGCGATGATGAATTCGTTTCTCTACCCGCAACTAGGATCTTCTGCCGAATGAAGAGGCAGGACCTATAGGCGCGACGTAGCTCTTTTACCCTTAGGGCATGATATACGAGACCCACACAGCGATGCTCGCCGCCGCCCATGCGAGTGCGCAAACAAAGTTGCTGTTGCGTCTTCGTCCTGCAGTAGGCTATCATCATTTGCTTGAGCATAATAAATCAGTAGAACTTATAATTTGGAATTTTTGTTATTTACGAAATGACCTCACATTATTAAGTATCGATAAGTGCAAAATCATTATGCATCAGGTCGTCTTTTCCAGAAAAACAGCCCTTTCCTCATTGGCAACTGACCAAATTTCTCGACGTCGAACCTTCAGTGATTGAACGAGTCGAGCAGGAATTGATCAAATATCCGGGTTGGCATCGAAAGGAAAATGATTTGTACTCTCTGCATCAGACACCCGACCTCAAGGGTCTGAGTTCCATGAAGTATCCTGCAATCACCAGCTTCAGGTTTGTATCAGATAAATTTAGATAATAGTTGTTAATAATAATTTGTCTTTATTCCAAATAGCTCTTATGTTTGGGATTTGTTGTTTGCAGAGATTTTCTGTACAAGGAAGTGCGCGAATGGCTCGCAAAGACTAGCGGCATTGAGCTGCTTGAAGAAGTCGATTCCACAGGCAGTTGCTACGCGAGTACAGATTGTCTTCTGACTCATTCTGATCAGGTTTGATGGAATTTATCATGAAAAAATCGCATGAAACTTTACCTTATCTCTTTTGTGCCCTGACAGTTCAGGTTGAACACCGTCGTTTTGCTTTCGTATACTACTTCACGGAAGATCCGTGGGAGGAGTCGTTTGGGGGACAGACCAATATCTACAACTCGAACGGTGCGCGGTCTCCCAGCTCCACAATTGAGAGAATGCTTCTTTTTTAGAAAAAGACGACCCCACAACTGTTTTTGCTTCGCTGATTCCGCATCGCAACTCTTTACTTCTTTTCGAAGTCTCAGAGAAGTAAGACGCCTGAAGTTTTATTGTGTACATCTCTCAAGTGTCTGATTGCAGATCGTGGCACTCCGTCGAAGAAGTTATAGGTGAAGAGAATTGTCCTCGTCTTTCCATAAATGGTTGGTTCCACACTGATCGTCCAATTGAACCGGTGATTCGACCACCAGTCATCCGTCCACAAATCGCTCCTCATGGTGTGAGTTCGTATTTTTTGTTGCTGCTTCCTTTATTCCGTTGTTGTCCCTGCTAAGATCATGTGCATAATTCTCTCAATCTAGTGCGAAGCTCTTCAGCAGGTGGATCTGTCTCAGTTCTTCAGTACGCAAGTGTTGAATGAAAAATTAGAGAAGAATATGGGAGAAATTTTTAAAACAACGAATGAGTTGCTCATCAAGAATGCATTCCAAGTAAGTGATCGATGTTGGAGTACTCATTTGAGAGTGTTTTTGTTGGGCATAACTAATTTTTAAACTACAGATTTGCTAGTGCTCCTTAATTAGTGAAAAAGACAAGCGGAGTGTCATCTTGCTTTCAGAAAGGCTTCAATGACGAAATGATGCTAGCATTGGAGTCGGCTAAATGGATACAGAAGGGACCTGTGAACAAGAGGTTGTCTTACTTTTTTCAGTATATCTAAGTTGAGCATAGCAGGTTCTAGAGCTACTGAGCTTTCAGATCCATGGCCGAATACAATGTTGAGGCTGGTGGTTCTGAGTGTATTGCCAAATTTGTACGAGCCTTACGTTCACAAACTATGATGGATTATGTGAAGAAAGTGACAGCATCTGAATATGAAAGTGAGAATGTTCCCTTCGAAACCTATGCATAAACTATTTTTTTATCGTTACAGTTCCAGTGAATCGGACCCTCGCGGCCACCTCGCTCGGCCCTGCGCAGCGTTCGGGAGCGTATCCTGTGGACATTCTGCACGCTAGCCAGCTTTTAGCTTCTGCTCAACCACGCGTCATACTTGGTCCATTCAGTACTCTCGATCCATTTCATCCACGCCATTGATCAAATCAGTGAACCAATAGCGAAGTGTTTGAAGTGGATAATCGTTTCGCCCTTGATCAGTTTACTGATTTGACAAATAGCGAAGTGAACGAAGTGGATAAAGTGCATGAAGTATGGCGCATGCGTTAGGCGTGGAAAGTGCACAGTGGATACGTCCACGAGCTGCGCAAGGCCAAAACGAGGCGGTCGCGACAACCCGAACCACTGGGAGTGTGACATAGTCATTGAGACAGCCTGTAAATTCTTGGAATCTCACAGACCCTCATACGACGCTGAGAATCTACCGCCTGACCCATCGATGTTATACTGTTCTGGGAGATGAAGACGCGGAGCAATATATGAAAGATGGGCTTTCAGCTGACTTTTGGGTAAGTCGCATTGTTTACGTCGTTGCTTCTTAAAAAGTTGCTTTTTAGTTCTACTTTGGTAAGTCAGACTGGAGCGAAGACGCAGGAGGAGAAGTGGTTTACATCGAAAAAGATGTGGAAGAACCAGTGAGTTATTCTGCTATTTCCGGCAAAAATTTACTTTTTTGTTTCATTTTTAAATGCAGATATAGCGATGCAGATAATTTTCTCTAGGTACTTCGCTGCCCTCCCACCGTTGGTGCCATGGCCTTAGTTCGCCGCGATAAGGATGTCTTTCCATTCCTCAAATATGTGAACCATTTGGCGAAGCCAGATCCTATATACGTCGTTGCCCTTTCGGTTTATGGATTGTTGCCTTCCAAAAATGAAGAGGGAGAATGCTCAACAAGTGCGGTCGACTCGCAAGCGAACGGCGAGAAAGTCTGATTTGCCAACTTATTTCGTTGAAACTGTCTTTTGAGGCTATATGACTGCTATCGGGTTAGATCTTTCTGTTACAGAATCTGTTGTTGTTACTTTGTTGACTTATTGTTAGCCATGCTAGCTTTCGCAACCTAATTGCGTTCAAATCTATCACTTTCACCGGTGTGTTATGTTCAGAATTCAGAAGAAAGTAGTCTCAGTTTAGTCCTTTGCTAAATAATCTAATAAAGTTGTTATTGTTACAAAATTAGTTTGAAAGACTTAGATATCAAGCCACTGCTTTGAAAGTATTGGAGGGGGGGGGGGGGAACTTATCAACCCATAGACCTTGCCGCAGCGCAGTAGTTTTAGTGGTCGTGAGTTGTCAGCAACGCAGATTTGCACCCAATCAACATCTTATGCAGAGCTGATGTTTGCAGACAAGACTCCCGTTCTGATCCAGGAACATATGAAACTCTAATTCCAGGTCATTTTCAAAATTCAGCAACGATATGTGTCCGAATAGTGAGAAAATCGGTACATAAAGCTTTTCAAGCATTTTTCCGAATATGCTACTTTTGCTTACCAAGAATTCATTCTCTACTGGAGAAACGTTTTCTTTACGATTTCACTGCAAATTTGGAAAATTCATATTCCAAGGTTTTTGTCATTCTGTTCTTTCAGATTTGCAGTGAAGTCGCGAAAAACTTCGTTTTACGAGGAGGGGAGTAATCACTTATCGAACTAACTATTAGCACATTCGAATACAATGTGCTTGAAAACGCTAAGTACAGATTTTTGCTCTATTCGGACATACATCGTTACTGAACTTCGAGTTGGAAATTACAATGAAAATCCAACCTTATTTGTTCCTGTATGAGGTCGGGTTCCTGTGCGCATTCAGCTTTGCAAATGATGCTACCTACGTGCTAACCAGTTTTGAACAACTCATGACCTCTATAATTACGCTGTCGCAAGTCCTTTGGGTGGGGGAATCCCATCCCCTGAAGGGGGGAGGAGGGGAAAGGGGGGGGGGGGGGAGGAAGGGAACGTATAATATGGATGGGAGGATGTCATCTAATACAACGTAATTCTGGCTACTCACATTTTTGAAATAAAAACAGGATCTCACGGGCTCTCGTTCTTTACTGGAGAGTTCCGGGGTGTTACCTCAGTCTAAGGGCCTAAACGAAACGGAGCTAGGATATTTTCTTCAAGATTATCCACGATTATTAATTAATGATTCCACGATCTATCACTTATCCACAAAAAAAGAGGTATACCAATCTTCTGCAAGCTGAACAAATAAGTGAAAGGAGCTAAGATAGTTCTTTCGCAAAATTTCCATAGTTCACATCATTAATATGGTACTACGCTATACACTTTGTACATTACTATTTCTATTTCTATACTATCACTTTATTGGTCTTCTGACAGGCATCAAGGATTACCATCATGAAGCATTCAGCGGGCTCTTTTACCAGCTCGAAGAATATCCGTGATAGGCAGATACATCACTTAATGCATAAAAATCCGATGTATGTGGAAAACTGAAATTCATCTGAAGAGTATCAAGGTTGGTATCTTAATTCGAAAACCATTCTTTCTTCGACGTTTTGGACAAAGCATCTGAAGGTAATTTTGTTGAAATGATGTTCAACAGCACCCGAGAACTGTGAGAAAGTATGGACTGCCCAGAAGGCTATTGGCGTTATAGGTCATTTAGAAATTTTAGACTGACTCACTGTTCACCTAAGCAATTTGACAGAAATTGCTGACTCAAAAAATGGCATAGTCGATGAAAAGAGGGAGGTAGGTCAAAAACCATGACAAACAACTATTATGTCTGATGGACTTGTTGTTTTCTGTTGTGAACCTCTTCAGGAGATATAACAGTAGGAAAGGTATAAACACTAGTGGGGAAGTCTTGTTCAAATGAATTCCTTCATTTCCTTCAATCACATTCCGAAAACCTTCTTCGTAGAATTTCCGCACTAAAAAAGATTAATCAAGAAAGTTACTGCAAGAATAAGAGCTTTTGAAAGCATATGCGCACCTTACCACATATTACCAATACTATACGATGCAAGTAAGAAGAAATTATAGGCGCACGAATTTTTCAAATATTGAATTTTTAAGTGCAAAATATGCGACCATTTCAAATCTTGTTGTAGTTAAACAGAAGAAGCTTTCCGCAAATTCTACGTATTGCATTCAGTTGCGCAAAAATAAAGGTACCGTCCACTCAGATTCTCGACTCCCATGTTTTGATCGTTCCCGGGTCTCCTCTCAAGTCCCTGATTCCGACTATGAAGTCGAGAATCCGCATAAACCCCCGCAATCCCCATCACGGAAAACCCGCAGTTCAGTTCTCCGGAACGGTGACGAGTTGGGTACGCTAGATGGGCGGGCATTACTATAGGGGGCGGTGTCGAGTGGTCTTTACGCCTCTTCGCTACTCTGAAGCGATTTTCCTTCTTCCGAAGAAACATTTTGCACCGCGACTTGGGCATTGGCTTAAGGGGTCTCAATATCGTAAGCTGCCAAAAGCTCAAAACCCCTAGCTTAGAGTGTACGATGCCTTTAATCCTATCATCCAATTTATTTTTTTGGGCAATATCACGCACTATGTCCCTCCTCCTCATATCTTCACTTTATGTTGGAAACTCACCACTTTTATCCAGCAGTGATAATTTCATCGTATCATTTACGCTCTTATCACAGGGTAAATAAGAGTTTTTACAGAGGATCGTTCATTTTCTTAACGTCGTCAGCCAAGGTCTACTGTCTCTTAAACATCTATTGATGCAGCAACAAGGAGTGGCTGTCGCTCAGCATGTAAGAGCCTCACTGGAATAGAGAGTTTCTGAACGCCACCAAACTGTTTCCAGGATAAGGCTGCAAACCGCCATCAGGCCCTTGGTCATCCACCCATCCAGCCTGGAGGTGCACATTTTCCAGATTTATCTGTCACATCAATCACGACTCGAGTCATATTGTATCTTCAGTTCCGAAAGCTGCAGTTGCGCCTACGCCAGCGCCTGTAACTCCACCCAATCCGCAAATGAATCAAGTTGTAATTAGCGCTGAAAGAATGAAAAATGTTACAATACGACCTGGGTTAGTTGCCATCTGATTAAAAACCAGTGCGTCACCTCTGCTTCGCAGAGGCTCGCACTGGCCCTATTTTCTGTATGCCTTACTCCCCGCATAATAATGACATTGAAACTCACCGCGCTATGTAGGCTATCACGAATAATTCGTAAACAACTGCTCATTCGTAGAGGTCTTCCATGTGAGATCGGTATTCTCGCGTGGTTAAAATCTTTCCCAGAAGAACAGATGCAAATTTGAATAGGCTTTTGGAATTTTTATGGCTTGGTAGTCGCCGTAAGGACAATAGACATAGTGGGCTACACTTCAGTGCAAAATTCTTCTCAAATAGTCAGGGAAAATCTTGAAAAATTGACCGTTTACACAGAGAATGCTTTTTGGCGCTGTTTTCGTAAAGAAGTAGACTTTTCATTGCTTTTTTGGGCTAACATCCATGGCTTGCACATTAGCTTGTCAAATATATCCTTAACTCTGCAAAAAGTAGTACTACGGACCCAAATTTGCTGGCCAGAAGCCAAGTGGATCCGTTTGACGCCCAATTTTTAATGGATCCACTCAACGGATCCGCTCATGCTTTTGTATAGTGAGCTTTCATGCCGGTAGCGTGCGCTATGCAAAATTTGGGCTCAGGACGTTGGCTGGAACACTCTCTACGAATTTCGTGACAGACACACACACACACACACACACACACACACACACACACACACACACACACACACACACACACACACACACACACACACACACACACACACACACACACACACACACACACACACACACACACACACACACACACACACACACACACACACACACACACACACACACACACACACACACACACACACACACACACACACACACACACACACACACACACACACACACACACACACACACACACACACACACACACACACACACACACACACACACACACACACACACACACACACACACACACACACACACACACACACACACACACAAACGTAAACAACCCCCTTAGCCCGTTATTATAAGTTATGATTTCGAGAAAGCGTGGGCACTTCTGCAACAGTATAGTATAGTTTTAAGCCTCATTCCCTGTTAGAAACACCATCCACCCAAATCGAAAACATGAGATTTTATTGTCGTGTCAAAGCGGAGCCCCTAGAAAATAATCGCTCAAGTCCAGATGCAAAAAATGGAGTCCGAAGCGAGAAGTTTCAGAGGGTAGATAGCGGCCGAGACATAGTCTGCCCCAATTCTAATCGGGCCAAAATTGGCCTGGCGGGAGACCGCGTCGCTGGAGTTTTGCGTCACTCTAACTGCCTGCTCGTCTGCCCTCTCTTCAATCTCTTCGCTCTCTTCGACATGCGCATATGCGGCGCGTCACTCTAGCGCTGCGAGCGCCCAATTCATCCCAACGGTTCGGCCTGACCCCAATTGGGGCGGTGTAATTCCGCCCGCCTACCAACCTGAGAGGCTTGAAGCGAACAAGTTCCATGTTTGGCTTTGATATTTCTACATTTGCATAAATTTGTCCTCCATAATAATTACACGATTCTCGACATTTCAACCCAGCCTAAACCTCCTTATATCAGGGAACACTTTAATGGGCGGAGCCGCCCTAATGTCCAAAATATTGCTTCATCGCAGAAACTCTTGATTAGGGGCGGTATGTAACAATCGCCCGTCCGGGTAAGTTACCCGGACAGATAGTTTCCGCTTCATAGCTCGGTCTCTGGGAATCTGTGTGCTTCCTTGTTTGTGCATCTATTGGAGGCTCTACTACCCTAATATTGTAGCACAATTACTAGCAGCACTTTGCTGTATAAGCTGAGATAATTCGTTATTTGTATGATCCCGAACGGGATCTCCACTGATCACGCTCATTTTCAAGGTTATTTATATCCGCAAAAACTCAATGGAAACGTCACATAGTTTTGCTTTCGATCTATTACGACAGTGCTACGCATGTTTTTAGTAGCACATATCAAATGTGCAAGTGTTGAGTTTTTCGATAAAGCCCAACTCGCGAGCACAGGTTTAGCGAAGATTTTGTCAACTTGATTTTTCACTTATTTCTTTCACAAACACGCGTAGCACTGTCGTAATAAATGGACAGCAAAACTCTGTGACGTTTTCCTTGAATTTTCGCGGATATGAATAACTTTAAAAAAAGGGGGATCAGTGGGAGATCCCGTTCGGGATTATACAAATAACGAATTTCCGCAGCTTATACAGCAAAGTGTTGCTAATAATAGTGCTACATTATTAGGGTAGTAGAGTCTTCCAAAGATGAACAAACAAGGAACAACACAGATCCCCATAGCACCGAGCTATGAAGCGGAAACGACCTGTCCGGGTAACTTACCCGGACGGGCGATTGTTGCATACCGCCTCTGGAGGCATTCTGGGCGGTACGCATCAATCTCCCATTTTGAGAGCGAGGGGATCATTTTCAATAGAAAAATGATTGCCCGGCTGGGTTGGCCGCCTGACTCGTTATGTATAAAGCTGCTGCCAACCCGGCCAGGCAATCATTTTTCTATTGAAAATTATCGCCCACTTTCAAAACGGGAGATTGATGCATACCGGCCCTGAACTCTGTTCCTTTCAAATTGTTTTTCTAGTTTCTCCTATTTTCTGGTATCGATTCCTTTTGTGGCTGGCTCCAAAGTTGGTCTTTTGTTGAAACACTTTGAAAACGTGGTATTCGTCTTTGGTGTGGAGGCAGGTTCGATTTTTGTGCCTTATTTTTTTTAGAAAATTTTTTGGATTAAATTTATGGTGTAATACAGTCTATCCATATGGGAAAAATTTTTATACGGTAAAAAAGTTGCATCGCTATCATTAGAGCAAATCGTTGGCGCTCATCCAAAACTGAACATATGCTTTTACAGACTCATTGACTGCTCAAACAATGAAACCTATGGATCGAATTATCGACGTTAATGGAGTACCCGTTAAGGACAAGGATCTTTGTAAGAAACTAATACTCGACAATTTAGTGGTAATGTGATACAAAAATTGCTGTTCCACATGTGTAAAGGGAATTACCTAGATAAATGGGGAAGCTGATATGATTGTTGAGCGCCCTGTTGAAACTGCCGCCGTCAGTGTAATGGCGGTAATTTGTTTTCTATAGAAAACTTTTATAGGCAATTCATCGCACGCAGAGATTGGACGCCATTGCGTTCGCTCAAGATAGTACGTATGGAAGAGACTGCAGACAGCTAGAGAGATGAAAGAGCGTTTGATTTGAGAGACGCCGACAGCGTCCGCAGTAGCGTACTTTCTCTGCGTGCGATCTCGTCTATGACATTGAATATTTTTTTTAGAAATCGATGGCAATGTCACAGATGCAGCCACCATCAGTAGCTTTGCCTGACGATGTAAAATCTATTCTACGCCGTTATAACGAGAAATTAAAACAAGGGCTTGGGAAGGCAGAGCCGGTGAGTATTTAATGAGCTACAATTTTGAAGTAATTGTGCTAATTACAGTTTCACGCTCTCGTTGATCCGAAAAACCCGAATCGAGTGATACAACAGCCAAAACGTGAGGCTCATCTCGATCCGACTGTGTCTCATATTTCCGTGATTATTCCGACTGATGACGAAAGTAGACTCAATGAACTTGTGGTGAGCGAGACTTCTTCCGTACATTCTGCTTGAGGCTCATCAGATGCTTGAAAAGAGGATCGGATGAAAACCGTGATCGAAAATTTGGTAACATCCCCTCGTTTTACTCAAAAAATTCGAAAATTGAGAGTTGGAAATGTCAAAATAAATTGCACTAAATCGTCGGGCAGAAACGGCTAGTCAAGCATATTAGAGTCACAAATGTTTTTTTTTGACAAAGCAAAGCTTATATAGAGCTTATTATTATTATCGTTGTTTAATTTCCATTTGAAATTGAACAATTTCTTATTTTTGTTTGTTTCAGAAAGTACCACCACGTCCACGCTTGCAGTAGGCGACCAGTATTTGTGATCTCAATTAAAGATATCCAATAAAGAAAAATACTTTTATTTGTGCATGTACTTCCGTAAACAGATGTGAAGATTTGTGCTTGTAATTTTGCTTAGATTCAAGACTTCTATATTGTAGTCATATCAACATACATTTCAAAAGACTCTGAGCAAATGGACAAAACAAATTTATCCACATTTTAAACGCGAAAGTAAACAAATAAGAGTAACAGAAAAGAACATCAGTAACATGTTTTCTTCAATGAACCTGATCATTAATCTATAGCCGAATGCGTTGACCTAATGGCATTACACACTGCGATATACGCAACACATCGTCGTGGAAAGACAAACGATATCAGATTTGAAGCTGAATCGAATGCCAGAAACATGTGTGCAACTTTTACCAATATCTTAATGTCGCTTCAGCATTTTCTTCAGTAATGAAATGTTCCACATGCGCAATTGCTTTAATTTCAGCCTTTTGATAATCCTGAGGCAGTGACGTACCGAGCCCCCCCCCCCCCCTAGAATGGGTCGTGAAATTTTTGAAAGTTACTCACACAAGTAATAAAAATGTGCAAGTGGCTGGTTTATACTTGTAAATAATTAAAATGATTTTTTAAATTTTTTAAAAATTCAGTTTACTTCCGTAAGAAATTTTCTGTCACGCCCTCTTTTTTGAAATTTCGGGGTTAGGGGCCCGAAACGTACTCCAATGAATTTTCAAATTAAGGTTATGCGGGGCAGGATTCGCTGACCAAGATCTTCTGTGATGACTAAGATTCACAAGATTTGGCAGATCCACGAACTAACGTATAAAGTCGACTATTTCTGAGATTCGTGGACATAAATTTCCCACCGTTTATTTGTTTAACACCGCATTCCATATAGGCTGCTTGTACATCAGGTGGACTATTTATATTTAACGGTAATAGTCAGAATCTTTAAGTAATTGGTAAGCGGAGAGTACAATGCAGTACCTAACGCACAAGTTTTATTTTCTTCTAACTGTAAAATAATTCCTATATTCTGCGCTATTAATTAGAAGCAGGAACCCACTCGCCACCCATAACCTAGCGAATAATCAAAATTGAGAAAAGTGTGAAATTTTGAAAAAATCTTGGGTATCCTCAACCTCTAAAGTGTTGATTTTACTGATGCTCGAGCTCTCAAACCTTTAGAGTACTGATTTTATCGAACATCGGGCCTCCAAATTATGGTTTTATAGATTTTTGAATTTTCAAAATGCCGATCTTGTGTATCACATACCTTCAAGTATCGAGTTTAACGATTTTCGAGCTTGCAAAATATTCATTCTATTGATTTTTGAACATTCACAATAGTACTTTGGCTTTTTGAATCTTCGAAAAACCGGTCATTTTATCTTGAACTTTTAAAAAAACAATTTCATCAATTCTTAACCTCTATTTCTCAAATTAGACATCGAACCGCTTCGAGCTTATTTTTGAAAATTTTTGGAAAGCTGAAACGTTATTGAAATCTTCTCATTATCTTCACGCGAATAACCAAGTGATAGTTGCTGTCTAGTAGAATAGCGCTAACTTCACTGAATCATATGTTCCATCCTAGCATACCACAAAATTCTCTTTTGTATCAGTCCACTATTTTTGACATACTCTTTGGAAAGTATCAAAATATATATTGAAAAAGATTTTTTTTTTGCGGAAACGAGGGAAGCGAATTTGAATGAATGTTGTTATGACATTCTAACATAAATCTACCGCACTTGAAATCTTAAAGGCAGTGTCCAGGCAGATCTGGACCTCCGGGGATTTTACATGGAAAGTAATTTTGGGGCCCTAACTAAGGCACTGTCCAAGCGGCAGCGCAGGTGAACTATTTAACGGCTGAGATATACAGGGTACTTTTCCGTTATCCGGACCCATTTTCTCAAAGAAGTTTATTGCTTTTTTCTTGTACCATATTTGGTCCCAAATTCACAGGAAGGAGTGTCAACCTTCTGGCACGTGTCAGAAAATGACATGTCATATACATGTTTAACAGGTTTTACCAAGGTTTTGTTTTGCACTGCCTAGCAACGTAAATGCAATCCGTATTCAAGTCGATGGTGACCCCAATTTCATATAAAGGATTTCAGAAATGAACACTGTTATAATCAGGGTTGAGCAAGAGGTCAGGCACAAGTCTTTCCAAAACGACCCCCCAGTGAAAGCCCCTAAACGACCCCTCTGTTTCACCTCCAGGACCTCAGGCTGTGATAATTCGAAGAGATCAGCCGTTTTTGGGAGGTTCGTTTTTTGGAGGTCTGTAGGTCGACTTTCTGCGATTGCACAGCACACGCAACTTGACGGCAAGTTTTGGATTTTGGATAGCCCTACTTTTAGAGCTATAATTCCTACAAAGGTGTATTGTTTGGCTCCAAATTTGCAGTATTGCAAGAAGAGGCTTTGAGTTCAATACTCATAGCAGAAATGGAGCGATTTTTAGATTTTGAAAACAAGTTAATCGGGTCAGGCGCAACCCCTCAAAAGCTCAGGCGGCCTGACCTTGTGTGGGGTTGCGCCTGACCCAATTCACTTTATCATTGAAGAAGCTTTTTTATTCAAGTTTTATGTGAATCGCTAGCACAACCCTCGAAGATTCCACAGTAAGTGTTTGGACTTGATTCGACTTGTTTCGGCCTTGTGGTAATCCGTGGAGTTGAAGCAGTCATGTAGAAAAACGCGCCGGTCGGAATTTTGGCATTATTTCTTACTCCACTTGCAAGCGATACAAAGCGCGATTTTTAGCCTAGACTAGTAGGGAACAATACTTTGTTACGAGTACAAAAAAATTGACTTTTCTCACTTTTGAAAACAAGTTAATCATGTTTGAAAATCACGCTTTTTAGTCGTTGAGAAACACTAGATAATGCAGTAAATAATGGTTTGTAGGACTCATAGAGGTAATTTGACGTGCTCGGAAATGATACGCATTTCACACAGCAAACTTCCTTGAGGAATTTATAATATGTCAAGGTAGAAGATGAAGATTTGAGTCTTGGCCGAAACTTCGATTGTGGAATCAATCAGTATGCTGTTTAAGACCGTTCATTCCTTCAGTAATGGTGAGGTCGCGATATCCACTAAACTAGCGCTTTTCTTCTTCACCTTAATCGTAGTATCTCCTCAATCGAACGAATTCGATTCCTAATCACGACCCCCCCCTCTGTCTTACCCCAGTACGACCCCCCAGGTCGGGCGCGCCTGACCCCACGCTCAACCCTGGTTATAATATTAACGCCATCCCGTTTCAGTGAACAGATCAGATTTGCCCAGAATGGAGAAGTGTGACAGGATTCCATTATATAAGCGACGAAACAAGCAGCAGCGAAATACCGCAAGCCATCATTTATAGCCTATCCTGACTAAATCGTATGGCGGAAAGTTTGAAGAGGAAGACAAGTTTTGATATTGCTGAAAGCAACTAAAGTGTTTTGCTATAAGTTCTAGACAGTTTTGCTTTTATAGAAAACAGTTGAAAAGCTTTTAGGTGGTCACAAACGCTTTTTTACTCAACGGAAATGATTTCGAAAAAACAAGTCAAAATGGGCTAAAACGTGTCAAATTTTCCCTGACACGTGGCAGGGAGGCAGTCAAAGTAGAATCTATAAAAAATTATTCTTAGACTAAAGAACGTATGTTGTGAGAGCTTTTTGAAAAAATGGGTCCGGATAACGGAAAAGTACCCAGGAAATATTTGACACGTTTTAATCCATTTCGACTTGTTTTTTTCGAAGCCATTTCCGGTGAGATAAAAAAGCGTTTGTGACCAACTAAAAGCCAACTGTTTTTTGTATAAGCAAAACTGTCTAGAACTTATCGCAGAACATCTTTATAGCTTTCAGCAATAATTCAAACCTGTCTTCCCTTTCAAACTTTCCGCCATGCGAATTTTAGTCAGGACAGACTATAAATGATGACCTGCAGTATCTCGCTGCTTCTTATTTCGACGCTTGAATAATGGAATCCCAGCGCACTTCTCCATTCAGGACAATTTAATCTGCTCAATGATAACAGGATGACGTTATTGAAACCGTGTTCGTTTCTCAGATCCTTTACTTGAAAATGGGGTCATTATTGATTTGAATACAGATTGAATAAATGTCGTTAGACAGTGCAAAACAAAACTTTGGTAAAACCTGTTGAACATGTAGATGACATGTCAAATTTTTCTGACACGTGGCAGAAGGTTGACACTCCTTCCTGTGAAATTGGGACCAAATATGGTACAAGAAAAAAAGCAATATTTTTCTTTGAAAAAATGGGTCCCAACTGTTTTTTGTATAAGCAAAACTGTCTAGAACTTATCGCAGAACATCTTTATAGCTTTCAGCAATAATTCAAACCTGTCTTCCCTTTCAAACTTTCCGCCATGCGAATTTTAGTCAGGACAGACTATAAATGATGACCTGCAGTATCTCGCTGCTTCTTATTTCGACGCTTGAATAATGGAATCCCAGCGCACTTCTCCATTCAGGACAATTTAATCTGCTCAATGATAACAGGATGACGTTATTGAAACCGTGTTCGTTTCTCAGATCCTTTACTTGAAAATGGGGTCATTATTGATTTGAATACAGATTGAATAAATGTCGTTAGACAGTGCAAAACAAAACTTTGGTAAAACCTGTTGAACATGTAGATGACATGTCAAATTTTTCTGACACGTGGCAGAAGGTTGACACTCCTTCCTGTGAAATTGGGACCAAATATGGTACAAGAAAAAAAGCAATATTTTTCTTTGAAAAAATGGGTCCGAATAACGGAAAAGTACCGATATACCCCTCCAAACTGGACCCCGGGATCGATTCGCATGGATTCATGGCAGGTTCGCGCTGGGACCCACGCTTTGCGTCATGAATCCATGCGAACGATCCTGGGGTCCAGTTCCGAGGGGTATATCTCAGACGTTAGAGCACTTACCTGAGCTGCCGGTTGGGCAGCGGCTAAGTTTGGGCCCCAAAATTATCCACGTCTCCATGTGTCCAGATTTGCCTGGACG